TGGGATTCACCCTGCAACCTAAATACCTGGGGATTATTAAAAATCCCATCCACAAAAATAGTAATATGGGGGATGGTTTATCATTAGATTTACCGCAATGACCAGTTTTTGGCCTAATTGCTTTGAACATGTTTGAACCATTCCCAGTTGGAAGCAAGCGAACTAGTGAACACAAATTGGCCCGCCATTTGCTTTCCCTGGAAATCAGGGATTTGTTCTTACCGTAGAACTTTTCCAGTGCGTTCATTTAGTTATACCATCCCCCCTACTCTCATCACAGTTTTTTCCAGATCAAAATGAAAGCATCAACCGGCTCAGGGAGCTGTTTAGTGTTGTGATGTTGAAACCGAATCCATCCAAATCCATCCAAATCCAACCCTTCCAAGGTTGAGGCCACCAAATCCGCTCCTGAAGTTTGCGGCCCGATCCCAAAACTCGAGGAGTGTCAAAAACCCTCTGATAATGGCTAATGATCTAATGCAGCTATGGTATGCTATGGTCACAAATCATCTAAACGGGCCATTTTCCTAGCTGTGCCATGGCCAACTTGGCAGCTCAACTCTCGCAGCCATTGCGGTTGTGCCATGGTGATGGCTGACGAATCCTCCGACTCGCCATTGGGACTCCAGTCATTTCTGTGGGTGAAACAAATTCCAAAATTGTGATGGCTAAGCCCTGCTGTAAACTAACGTAGATGATCAGATGTGGGAAAAAAACCCACCATAAAAGTCGATCATTTTCCAAGGGAAACCACTGGTTTTCCACATCTATGTCTATGTTAGTTTACCTTAGGAATCCCTAGGATAGCTTATAGGTATCAAATTGACTTTCTGTGGTGACCTTTCCAACCCCCCCGCCGCCATTGGCCTGCTTGATTTGCTGTTCCATGGGCTTGCTGGCTTCTCCGCCCTGGCGATGATATTGCCATGATCTAGACATCTGATGAAATCCGATGATATCGAACAATGATATCGAACAACATGTGTATCTGATTGGTGGTTTCAACCCCACTGAAAAATATGAAAGTCAGTCGGGATTACTATTCCCAATATATGGAAAAATAAAAAATGTTCCAAACCACCAACCAGGTATATTATATATAATTATAATCTTGAAGTGTCTTGAGTCTTGATGTCTGATAAGATCCTGACATCAAATGAATCTAATGATACTGTATCTGAATCTCATGGCAGTGCATAGGGAATCTGCTTAAAACATCTTAAAACGCAGTGTCAGACAGACTCACCAAGACGTGCATCATCCTGCATCCTTATCCTCTAACGGTAGTGGCACAGGTCCCACGGTCCCACCAGGAACCTCCATGCGTGGGGCCAAACAAGGACTGCTGTTTGGACGCCTCAAATCAATGGTGACCGCCAGCGGCAAGCCATCGCAAGACGGCTAGGAATGTTGGTTGGGCCATCCATGTTCTGTTGCGAAAATTGGCAAAACAATGCAAAACATGTCAAATACCAAGGACCACCACTGACCACCAGTGACCACCATTCAATTTTGAAGCACATCGCAATTTTGGTGAGGGTCTGTAACAAGAAAACTTTCTTCAACGGCAATGATGGCACACAGCAACCAGGCCCCACTTCAGCATCTCCATGATACCATTGGTACTTGGACACCCCCAACACATTCAAGCGTTGACTTGGTGTTGAAAAACAAGGATATAGAAACACTGTGATCTTCACCCCAAGGTAAACATGATAATTAAATGTAATTAATGTTAGTAAAGCAATCATAAATCACACATATTTTGATGGTTTATACCAGCCATTTATGGGAAAAGTGAGGATGGTCTCCTATTGCTTTACCAACATGGTGGGGAAAACATGGGAAAACGTGTCACACCTGAAAACTCACCGAGTTCCCAGAACAAGAAGCAAAGCTTTTGGATCCACGGCCGACCTCGCATCTTTTGGCATGCTGGGACGGGACCGAAGCAATGAGTGAACAGAAACCATCCATGACCAACCCATTTAATAACTCATGTTATGTAAGTTAAATATAGTTAAATGGTAACTATATCCCATCATATGTACCGTAGAAGATCAAAGTACAGTAACTATATCCCAAGATTATGGTTGCATGGAAATGGCTCTTTCCGGTTGGACAACAGAGAGATTGTACTCAGCAGATGGCAAACACTCTAATTTCGAAGGCCACGTCATGATATGTCATGTCTGAGGCAAAGCAATGTTGATGCTCTTACTTCTGGTAATGCTGCATTGTGGGTTCACATACTCAAGTTTGTATCCTTTGCTGCAACAATCCTGGAGGAACTGGCTTGACACCCTCGCAACACAGTGACAGCGTTTCGAATATCCCAACTCTCTACAAGCTCACACCATGCCACAGAGATCGAGTCAAGTCAAAAAAACAAAACAAAACCATTCATGCAGTGAAAATCTTTTTGGATCTTTGTGGTAGTCCAAAGCTTCCTTTCATTTTCAAGATACCCCAAAATCCAAAATCCGAGTGTAAGGAGTACCATGGTCATCTCTGGGATGCCCTGCAACGGAACCCCACCATAGGGCGAATTGGAAGCCCTTGTGGCTTCTTCATCGTGAGACCTAGGCGCCAGAACGCTTGAAGCAACCATGTGATGGCGGATGAAACCAACCATTGGATGGGGATGTCATGGGGATATCATGAAAACACGTTGAACTATGACCAACAAATTCTCATATTCTTGTCATAGTTGGTGAGGGATTCACAAACCTATCCACTGGATGATGGCTGGGGCTGGACGGGCGTTTCCCCATCCCCTGAAGCCGCATCCGTGCAGCCCCCACACAGGTGTGTTGGCCGAGTTGGGCGTAGGTCCACTGCCCCAACCCTTCAACGAGGACCTGCCAATCTTAGTGGTTTCTGGATCCATTCTGGATCCAGGGTGCAGACTATAGCTGACTGATAGACAAAACTTAGCTGTCAGCCAACTTTCGAAAAGCTGACTGTAGTTATCAGTCAACTGATTAGACAAAACTTGGTTACCCTCTGGTAATTTAACGTAGCTATTGAAAATGACCATTAATAGTGGATTTTCCCATAAAAATGGTGATTTTCAATAGCTATGTTAAATTACCAGAGGGTAATGCATGTTGATGTCAGCTTGGATGAATCCCCGTGGATTTTTTCTGGTGCAATGTGGTGCACATCGTATGTGCCAGCTGGAACTGCTCCAGACTATGTTCGAAACTACCCTCCGGTGTCATCAAACGTGATCGAAAATCCCTCATTTATAGATATTAGATTAGATATGATTAGATGATGTTCCCAGCTATAAACCTCCATTTAGAGCGGTTTTTTCGTTGCCATGTTGGATTACCCGAGGGTACTTTCAACCTATGTGCTACAGTACCTGTACTGTTCACTGTGACGGGCTGCTCCCGTCGGATCCCCTCGGCCTTGCAGAGACCTCGGAACCTCAGAACTCTACCATTCCAAGCGTTGACATGGAAGGGCAGCGGGCGGTCATGGGCTCCACATACCCTCTGGTAATTTAACATAGCTATTGAAAATGGCCATTTATAGTGGATTTACCCATCGAAAATGGTGATTCCCCATAGTTATGTTAGTTTACCAGAGGGTACCAAATTGGTGATATTTGGTGACCATGGTGATCATCATATACCCTCTGGTAAACGTTTACATAACTATGGACAAAACACGATGAGATTAATGTGGGTAAATCAACTATTTCGACTGGGCCATTTTCAATAGCAAACTGTTAACGTTTACCGGTACCATCATGTGACATCTAAATGGTGATGAGTTTGGTAAGTTGAGCTCGAAGAGGGACAAAACGTGATGTGAAGTCTTCGTCAACATCACTGGATCTCGTCCAAATTCAGTAGATCATTAGAAAACCCCCCAAAAAACAGAACCCCACATAGTCAGTGATGTGGGTTAAAAAAACATACGAACTCTTTGACTAAAGCTGCATGATTGCAAAGGCCTGAGCCACCAGCCACCTTTGTAAAAGGTTGATTCAAGAGTTTTTTCAGAAAGTGCTATCTTCACGGCTTTCCCCCTCCCTGGTGATACACCATGTTTTCAACCACAGGCAAGGCTACCCCCAAATCCAATGATTCAGTCTCTGGCCGGAGCGGGACGTGGCATGCGACATTGGATACACGTTGCAGGGCTGAATGGAACTTCACAATCCTTCGTTTTTTGTAGGAATTGCGTTGAAATCTTCAAGGCATCTTCAACCCTCAACTGGCCTCAACTCATGGATTCTCAAGATCTGTTGCCAAGCCCTTCCTGACACTTGATGGTCCGTCAAAAATCATCGGATATCTCAGCAACGCTCTGCAGATGTCATGTCAACAACTTAAAGCTGAAGCCATCAGGGGAGAATTGAAACATGCACCATGCACCTGATTGCAACCAAGAACACGTCTGATGATTGAGGGGCACAGCTAAGGGACGAATATGGGCCCGTGCTTAACATGAAGCTGGGATATTTACAAGTCCTTGGTCGTGCTGAGAGGTCAAAGTTTCATGAAACTTCGAGGTGAGTTGCAGTTGATGGTTTCAACCAATTCGAAGAAACATGAAACCGCCGCCAGATAAGGGTGTGTCCAAGAAGTTGGGAGCCACCAAGTTTTAGTGAAAGATCATGGGCCATTGATGGCCATTGGGCAAATCAATCGAATCATAGTGAAGCAAAAACTGGTGGATGGTAGGATCGCCATCCAAAGTCAGCTCGCTCTTTCACATGGCTCGATGCAATGAATTTTGGCGGCCCGTTGGCAGGATTTATACTGCCAGCATGCCACAAAGATCCGCAAATGCCAAAGCTTGGTCAAACATCTCAACAAGTGAAACATGTTCATTCAGAAATGGAGTTAGGTGTTGAGAGTTCACCAGGAATTTTAGCATTTTTGTCTCATAATGGTGGTCATTGATCATGGCGAACTATCTGTGGCTTCCGTATTCCTCCATTTTGGACTAAAACAATGCATAACATTGTTATTAAACAAACAATCGCAATCAAGAAACGAAACCAAGGTCTACTCAGCTGATCAAACGTCTCTTAGCAGTCTTAGCACATGCTCAAGCGTTTACAATTTAATCCGATCCACTTTGGCAATGACATCCTGGCTCATCTGAAGGAGCTGGTCCTTGGTGTTCCACCCACCAGTTGTGGCCCAACAAAAACTCAGGACCCAACAGGAAGCCTTGACTAAACCGTGATTGGGTGCTGGCTTACGTTTTATGAAAGGGGATTGACATTTGAATTTTGAAATCAAATGAGTACCAAGGGGCATAAAACATAAAACCCACCAATTTATGATACATATGACTTCTAGACACGACCACCAGGAGCCAAAAGTCACCAGAATGAATCGGGGAATGGATCACTTCCTTGCTACCTTGGGATTGAACACATCAAAGTACAAGTAGCTGGTTGTTCTCAATGGTCCTTCCCCATTCAGATAAGGGAAAATCATGGTGGGCATCACGCGTCCCTATATTATTACAACATGTCCATAGTTGTGGCTGCAATCCTCCTTGTGCTGGTCAAATCATCATTTAGAACTCCGTGATGGTCAAGTCCCAACTTCTGATGGTTAAATCTTAAATCACTATGGTTGATGGTAACATGTCCACTGTTGGCACCCGGCCCTGTCCCATGAAGTGCTACAAAAAAAACTGAGTGGCGGATAGGCAGAGACATTGAAGAGCGAGGCGGAAGTGTGGCGATCTGCGGGCTGGGAAGAGTGAATATATATATATATACAGTACATTATATATATATATGTGATAACTTATCCTATCAAATGCAGCATACACATATCATAGAAATACATTATACATGTATAATAATAGTAGTAAATAATAAATAATAATAATAATAGTATTAATAATAATATATACATAAATATATATATGCATATACGAACAATGTGATGCAAACCAATATAACATATCAACCATAATATATAACAATCAAACCAACTTTGTATTTTGTGCGATAAGTAAGGCTAATTAACCAGGAAACTGGCAAGAAAAACAACTCCCGCTGGACCCCCCTGTCCTCATCATCTGAGTTGTCATCATTGTCTTTTTATCATGATAGACTGGTTCAACTAGTCATCCCAAGTTTGGCAAAATACGGAATAGATATTGATGGTGGCAGCATATGAATCCATAGTGGCATTGCAGGAACATTTCTGATTGCTTCTCATATCATCCACAACTCATCAAACTAATCTATTTACATTAAGAAAAACAGTTGCAACGCTTAGGACATCTCTAAGATCATCCCAGATCATATATCATCTGTAATAATCTCTATATAGATTATGATGTGTATATATATATATGATTATATCTATATATATATATGTATTCATGACATTTCATGACATAGTTATCTATCTAACATTGTATAACTATCTAAGATCCAGACCTCAAACCGCATTCACCCCTCCGCAAGTACCGCCTGACTCTCCGCCAACTAAGCTGCTTCCATGCCTTGGTGTCGAATGGGGGTAACCCTATTTTCAGAAGCCTCCGAAACAGACATAGAAAAATGAAGCAAATGGGTATTTTTGTTTGATGGTGAATAGTGGTTTTCATGTTACTTTGTTGTACATCGTGGGACCAGCATAGAATCATTCATTTGAATGAGTAGGTAAAGAGGGAACAAGGCCCAGATATCATCTGCCTGAGAAAACACAACGCCGAGTTTTCTTTGGCCCTCGCTGGTGTAATATAGCCATGAGTTGCTGGATATGAGTGTCCTGCCCACACAAACATGCCCGCAGAAAAATGATATGCTCAGAAAGCAAGGATGTCTATGGAAAGGCCCAAATGACAAGTTTGCTTGAAGTAACACCATTATGCACACACCAAATCACAATAAGTCAGGATTGTGCTTGCCCAGACCCGTGCAAAATGCAACTTGCAAACAATCTACATATATACAGTAATATATAATTGGCATTATCCATGCTGCAAGGAAAAACATGTGAAAACAGCATCAATTCAACCGTGGGAATTAAGAAACAATTCTACCAAGACATGCCGAAAGCCTGTTGGTACAGTGGCTGGTGGTAGCTGGTCCTTCAACTCGAGCTGGCGATCCTTTTCTTCAAGCTCAATCCTGAGAGTCGCAGGCAGAATGGAGAAGCCAATGGGTCGCTTCAGCCTGGTACCATTCTGTTCACACCAATAGCTGGAACGTATTTTGATTCAGACATCCCTCATCTGAAAAGATTTCGGCAAAATCTTGCATTTTTACAATCCTTGTATGTCTCAAACCTCAGTAGCACAGCCTTTTTGCACATTAGTAGTCATCACCTAATCCATTGCCGTGTTTGTCTCAAAATAGTCACTATAAATCCATCTAAATTCACTGGTTGATGATCATTTTCCCGATTAAAATGGCTATAAATTATATCCATCTAAGTTAAATAAAATCGCTTTCTATATCTAATACCTTTTAATACAATACCCATCGATATTCCATTTAAATTGGGGGTCCAATCCCCTAATCTTTACTCCATTCCGACGTGCCTCAAACTTCGTATCCGCGCAGCATCCTCTGCTGCTGCATCCTTGGCTGCCCACGCGGCCGTCATGTCTCAAACTTGGTGCCATAACGTGCCATATATCCATCAGAGATGTGCAATGTAGTATATAACCAAAGGATACCAAAGGAAGTTTAGAAGCCAAACTTCCGACAATATGGAGAGATGGAAAAGCAGAGGTGGGAAGAGTCAGAGAAGAGAAATGAAGAAGAAAAAAATGATGGTTGGTTGACATGATGCTGGGAATGCTAACCATGACAATCGTCAGTAACTCGGAAGTTTTGTAACTAAACTTCCTTTGAATATGTATATATATTATATATATATAGAGATTATACATAGTCATTTTAATATAATACAATATTGTGAATTCTATTGAATTCTAATTTCATGTACACATGCATATTGTGATCCTCAAAGTGTCTCAGTATGCATCCCACCATCCATTCTTGGAGGTCATCGACAATCAACTGGGACCAACTAGCGATCAAAGTGACCAACCCACCATGACTATTTAATGGTAGGACTAGCAACTTATGATACACATTCCCAAGTCTTCAAACTGGTGACTTGTTGGGTGATAAGTTTTTTCGTCGAAAGTTGCAGCCACCAATAGTCCAAAATCTGGGCCCTCCAACGCCCGCGCGGAGCAATTCCAGCTGCTGATGGACCTGCGCTGCTAGGGGGCCATTGAAAAGGGGGGAATGATGTCTTTTAAGGAGGTCGTTTAATGTTGAATACATACAAATTATTATATAGAAATACATATTCATAAACTCTGTTCATAAAATGGTAATTTCAATTTCAATGGAAATCATGACAGTTTGAACGATTGAGTGGAGTGGGGTACACTATGTCTAGACAACATGTTTCAATGCATTGCCAACAAATGGTTTCATCATCTGAGGTAGGAATGGCTGAAAGTCAAGGAACATTTGAGAAGTTCAGCTACCAACTGGTGCGTCTCGCCTCTTGCAACTCTGCGTCTCGTTGCTCCAAATGCTTTTCGGCCAACTGCAGCAACAGCCAAAGAGTGTGACTACCATGCTTGAGATTTCCCAGGACATTCAAACATGTCATGGTGAAGCACTGCAAAAGACAAACCAGAAAGATGGAACAACTACGTACAGTATACACAGGGACTTTACCTGGATTCACCAGAACCTTGGCACCTGAAGCGCAGCTTCTTTGCCATCCAACTCGTATTCCAAGCACATCACCTGGAGTGGAACCCAGAAAATGCTAGGTGCTTTTTTGCCACATGATCTGTTTTGAATTTCGATCGACGCTCAAATTATCGAAATTTTGGGAGGTTGCCTTTTCAGGACCCACCTGCTGCTTTGATGCTTCCTTCCAGCTCCACTCAGGTGCCATCTCCTGCGAAAACAAATTCGGGGTTTTGGCCCATAGGATCCATAGGCATGTAGGACTAGAGCGAACTAAACCAGAGGTGATCATTGACTATAGATGTTTGAGAAGAATCTGCGCACCTACAAGTCATTGGGAAGCAATGGGCACGTTGAAGAGGCTACTATGATAGAACTAACGTGATCAATCGAAATGATTGGAAAATATTGGAAACATCTTTGGTGAATAGATGTGAATATGCATTGAAGGCAACCCTTGCCATGTGAACATCTTCGATGCGTCGCCCAAATCCTAAGAACCGCGGTCCTTCCGGCCAGTCGTGCTGGTATCCTACGGCTGGGCGTGGATTCTGATGACACATCCAAACCCCCGCGCCCAGACGTGCACGGCACCTGTGCCTTTTCAGCTTTGCAGCGCAAGATTTCAATGGTGCGAATGGCCTCTGGCAGGATGTGGATCATGCGGACCAGAATCGATCTGCACAAGGAATTGGAATGAATAAACATGAATTAAACATACATGCAAAGAGTAAGCAGTGATTTCAGATGATTTCAGGGTATGATCCCTGGAATTTAGGAAGAATGAATGATGCAAACGCATTGCCGAAGTGAAGAACTCGTATTATCATCAGAACCGGGAAATACTGAGAATATACCCGCACTATCCTGCAGACTCTTCATATCTTGCACAGTGATATGGGGATGCCTTTTCATCCCAAGGTAGTCCCCAACGCCAGGAAACAGATGCAAATCCATAACCTCTGTCAGTTGCATCTGAAAATCATACCTTGTAAAATTAAGCAATTCGAATGCTCATACTGGCAATTAAGTCGTGCAAAATAGGACCTAGGAAGGACTTCCTCGCAGTTGTTTCCATCATTCATATAATTTATGTACAACTTGCAGTGTAAAAGGGTCACTTGAGCCCACCAAGTCTCTGGACCGAACCATTACCTGATGTGAGGTTCTTCCGGGATATAATGTAAAATTAGGATGATCACCCTTTAGTAATCAAACATGGCAAGCTGGAATTTCCCGGACTAAATGGAGGTTTTAAGTTTGAATAGGAAAATCCCCTCTGAATGAAGGTTTTAATTGGACAATCCACTTGAAATTTGAAATGTGGGTTTTAGTATGTGTTAATAGGAACATCCACTGTAAATGGTTGATTTTCCAGCCCAAAAACAGCTTCCATACCACCAATTTTTTGCGGCCTCCTGCTGGAGTCGCTCATCTTCTGGGCTCCAGCCAGCTCCGGGCGACACCAAGGGACGGCTGGTGGGCGAGCCCAAGGGACGGCTGGTGGGCGAGCCTCCGTTTCGCAACGGGAGTGGTTGGTTTTTTCTGCGGGAAGACTGCATTTTGGGGGAAAATTACTGGGCTTGATGCAACTTGATGGCTTGGTCTTTGGGGAAGTCTTGAAGTAGATAGGCAAGGTGTGGTTGCCAAATATGATGTGGATTGATGTGGTCTTAAATTAAAGGAATTATCCACCTGCATGGGGTCTGATTAATAGAGTACCCCCGGCCGATGTGGATGTAAGTGTTACATGTCAAAAATGTTTTTGAAGGGAAAACATCACCCCAAAAAATACACTAAAACCACTAAGTCACCAAGGCTTCCAAAATTACTAGGGTTTCCCATAAAATTTCCATCGAATTTATTGATTGTTGGTGGGTTGGAGGAGTTCAATTCTGTTGAAACACATCCTAGGTCCAAGGGATTTCTTTTGTGCAAACATTGTCTGCATTCAAGGCCTATCTGTGTGGAACATGTTTCACTTCATATCCTTCTTATCTAGTCTAGAGAGTAGCTGCGCAGGTACCTCACATGGCCGTTGTATGGATCTGTAACCCAAAAATGGGATCGAAATATCTGATGTGAGCAGCAAAAATTGGCTTTTGAGTAGTTGCAAACAATCACACTCTGGTAACCACGGGCATGGAAACAATCAAACTGTTTGGTGGAAAACTCTGGGATTGTGTCACGTCGAGAAAGCCAGGTCTTGTCTTTCTCTTCCAACATTTCTGGCAAGAAAAAGAGGTCTGCCAAACAGCTTGCCTCTGGAAGTTATTATATTTTTTAACTGGTGCTATAGGGAATGGATGGGAATGATCCAATCCATAACTAGTTTCCAGTCCTTGGATCTGCAAAAATCGCCCAAACACTGTAACACATTGCAATACTCTAGTCGTGCTTATGTAATCATATAATATTAATGATATCAATTGATATCATATTAGACCATGTTAGTCTATGTTTACATATAATATCATATAGTAGTTCAATGACATGATATGAAAAATATATTAATATATGATATATAATATGAGACATGATATGATATGATGTTATATTAAGAGTCATATAAATCATACATGAGTCACTTGCGGGTCGCCATCATCGCTGAAAGTTTTTTGCCCCCTTTGCCATGCCTCGGGCAACTGCTGGAAGGGACATATCCAGCGGATGGATGGGGCTCACCGGGATGGTGCCGGCAGCCTGACACGTTTTCATCCCAAACCCTCCAATTGATTCAATGTAGCTGGTCCAACTATCAAGATCAGACTATGTTTCCTGTATAATCATAATAGTTTCACCGTGTTTCACCGTGTTTCGTGTTGACCAATTGATTGAATTTGATTGAGGTGGCCAGGTGGCTACAAACTTGTCAAGACAATTCTTCGCTGTGGGATGGTGAGTCATCCCGGAATCTTGGCATCCCAGACAGCTGTGGTCTCCCAGTCTCCCCATCGTTAGAGGTGGCCCCGCGGCAGCGTACCGTTCCGAGGGACCACTTGCTTGGCTCTGCTTGCGCCTGTGGTGAAGAAACTTTGGGACATCCCTAGCCATAGAGATATCTGTGGACATACCGCGAAGGGTCCATCGTACAAGAAACAAGTGCTGTTGGTTATTTAGATAATGGTGACAAAAAGCCTTCAAGACCATGTTGAAATCCTGTGATTGAATCCCTGTTGAGAACACCATGGAACATGACCATTTAACCTGCCACTGTGCTTCACGCAGATCCGGACTGTGCCTGGGTATGTGTCTTCTGATTCTTGATCATGCCAGATCTAGAGTCCTGCTCTAGCCTGCTCTAGATTCTTGTCATTCTTAAATCCGTTGAATCAGTTGAATCAGTTGAATCATCCCATATTTTGTTGGGTGAAATCATTTTGGGTAAATCATGTTGGCTCAAAAATCATCCATAATCATCCATAATAATCCCATATGTGGGGTAAAAAATCATCCCATCTTTTCCAATCGGTCACCGCCTTACTGGCCACAGGCAAGGTGGGTCGAGGCTCGACCGTGGAGACCTCGACGTGACGCGCCGCGACGCGCCGCATGCGACAAGGCAAGGATCAACATTGACAAGGGGAAGCCGACATGAAAAAATGGATGTTCAATACGGATTTCAACAGCAAAAACATGTTGTTACATGCATATAGTTACTAGTTACCCTCTGGTAAACTAACATAACTATATGGAAAAGCACCATTTTTAATGGGAAAATTCACTATAAATGGTGATTATTTCCATAGTTATGTTGGTTTACCAGAGGGTAACTATCAACCATTGGGATTCAACCACCAGGGAGGACATGGAAAAACTGAGAATCGAGCGCCCCAATCCCAAAAGACTCTAATCTCAAGATGACCAAGTAGGATTTCCTAGGAAATAACAAATACATATATATATATACAAATATTTAAGAAACATTTTGAAACCAGCAAAATGAAGAAATTATGGGCCTTATAAGTTGATTGTACATATCATCCGTGAGATCCAATGATTACACATCATATTTTCCAAAGGTCTGTGAGTGGGGGGCCGTATGCCCCATTTATGGATCTCCCTGCAGGATGTTTTAAAAAGTCGTTCGAAACATGTTGCTCAGGTCATCCACGGTCTTTATCTGAAACTAAACTACCTGCAGATTCTTTTGGCTTTGGTTGCGATTGGGTGCACCGGCTTGCAAACCGCCAGCAGCAAAACATTGTGTCAATAAACTTGGATGGCAAACCACGTTGCCATTTCCTATCGCAACTGAAGAAATCTGGCAGAATTACACTAATTCACTAACCTGTAATAGCTAAAATAAAATATAGTAAAATCAAATAAGGCCATTTGATTCCCCTTACCGCCCTTACCATCATCCCAGTGCCGTCCCGGGTCATGATCAAATTCAAAGCCAACGACCTCTTGAGATCCCAGGGTCCCAACCTCCAGCGCTGCCTTTGGCTCTCCGGTGCGACTTTGTAATTCCTGGCAGCACCCAGTTTTGCACCCAGGAAAGGAACCCCGAAAATCAACATCTACCGAAAGCTTCCATAATCAACCAGTTAACGATTTATCAGTTTGATTTATCGACTTTGATTTACGATAATGTTACCTATACAATAAATAATAATGAAAATAAATAATAATAATAATAATAATTTGTAGAGTATGGTCATGTTTTTAGATTTAGTTGAGATCGTTCAGTGTTCTCTTCTAGTCATTCTCAAACCTGATGTTTCTGCAAAAAAAAACCATCCATGGCCAAATCAATTTAAGTGTGCTTTCCTAGAATCTCCACCCAAACGCACCGAGGTTCATGCTCCTTGCGTTCATCTGTCCAATAGGTTGGTGATTTCAATGTTGGGGAGCATCATCCCTCCAGGTTACCAGCCATGCCATGGCATCATGGCCATGCGCCTGAATCTTGTCCCTTTCTTCGATTTCTGCCAGCTTTCGACTTCGATTTGCCCTCACCTGGACGGACGTCATGGGAGTTGCGCACCCTCTGATACTCTCGCCCTGCGCTGTCAAAACCTCATATGTGGATGAGTTTGCTGCCAAAAAAAAAGTGTATATATACAATGTATAATATATATAATATATAATATATTTATATATTATAACTATAATTATATATACATGTCATATATTCTAATGATTTGTAATGTAAACATGTATACCTATGTATATATAAATATATAATTAATTATATAGTTATATAATTAATCATAATATAGTTATATTAATACATGTTGCGTATTTCCCATTGCCTGTTTTGGTTCCTGGACTGAAACAGAAAAATCAGCAACCTACTGGCAATAGGATGAAAGCTGCATTTTTGGCATATGCCCTACCTCAATGAGCGCTTCACATGAACGACCACAATAGGAACAAATGGGAACCCAAACTCTTTGCAAGAAACCGGACGAATAGTGTGAACCAATCCGTTTACGCGCCCCAACGAGTTTCGTTCGAAAAAACACGCACGTACACATGCATACACACAGAAAACCTGTGAGACAGAAGGACATGTTCACAGTCAACCACCCAAATGACATTGTTTTCGTATAACAGTCCATTTAGATCCATTTAGTTTGATGTTTTTTCCATGTTTTCCCCTTAAAACATATGAAAACATCTTATGAAAACCTCATTTCGTTGAGGAGTTCCAAAGGTTTCACCATCCGCCTCGGCCAAGATGCGATCCTTTAGATCAGGGGGTGCCTTGGCTCACATCGCCGGGACCACCCCCTTGATGTTTCCTTACTAAACCATGGTTTCGAACGGGGGTGTTTATATATTGTTAATGTTGGATAATATTTGGGGGAAGGGATCAATGTCTTCAGAAAAAAAACACCTTCGAAATATGTCCTGGCATGAGGCAAAGCAATATTGAGAGATGCCGCTTGCAGCTCGCTAAAGAACCTTGAGAAACCTAGCAATAAAGCAGAAATGGATTTCCCTTTAAATGTGGGATACTGTAATATATATTGTACACATCCGTATTTTGAATGTCAAACCTAGTTGGCCTTGCATCAGAAGTGAGGTGATGGCAGCGCAACGCACGACCGAGACACCACTCAACCACAAATACTTGATCGGCTCTGATAGTAAATACACATGAGCGGTGTTCAAAAGGGTTAGTGTATTCCATTATACTCACTTGGTGCTTTCGCGGTGCTTTCGCGACCACACTCCCGGCTTTCGCGCAATGAACATTTGACAGAACTGCTTTCGCGGAGCTTTCGCCACATTTGGGAAGCTTATAAGATCAAAGCAACCTGTGATACACATATATGATATGATGCATCGCTACTTAACATCGGTCAATCAGCCACTTACACCCATTTGAAGGGCGCACCCCATTCTCAGACGTATCGAATCATATCTTTGGTTAGCTAAACCCATTAAATCCCACTGGATCCCACCAAATCTCATCAAATCTCATCAAATCCCATTAAACGTCACGTATCTACAACTCAAAACAAGCTTTCATGGAACAGGGTTGTTTCATTGGAAGGGTTGTTTGGGTCTTGGTTGGTATTACCTATATAATGGGATGATACCCTATCCCCCCTCTCTCTGGCTGCTGCGGCCGCTCTGCACTGCCCTGGCGATTGGCCTGGAGGACCGTTTTCCTGCTGGGACTCGGGCATAGTATCAGGAATCTTTGGGAAAGCCTTTGGCAATCGCCTCTTTTTTGCTATAGTAGGTGACACCAGCAGAGGTATCCACAAAAGATTTGTACTTTTGCCCCTTATGAACTCCCGTCTCACGAAGCGTCTCATATACCTTCCCAGGGTTTTCAAAACCATGATTCACATAATATGGCAGGTCTTAGAGCCAAACATGTTTCCAAAACATTCCAAAACCTGTCCTCCACGAGGTTATATGTATTAACATATAAATGATGATAGTAATGATTTCTTATTTGTATATAAATTTAGTCATACAAGCCTGCCAGGATCCCACCGTCTTCAACAAAACTCGTTTGCAACCACCCTTCTTCGTTTTCTTCTCTTTCTGCTTGTCGACCTTGGGGGACACCTTTGGCTTGTTGGTAGTAGGAAGGCCTGCACCTGAAGAACCCCCACCATGACCATCACCCTCAACACCAACATGCGCCGTAGTTGGAACCTTCTCATTGGACTTGTCCTCAGCGTCCTCAAGGTCCTTAGTGTCCTCGGTATCCTTAGTGTCCTCGGTGCCCTCGGGAGTTGCTGGTTGTTTCAAGGGTGATGCTGCTGCTGGTCGCTTCAAGGGTGCCGCTGCTGGTCGTTTCAAACCACCACGGCCACGTCCTTTTCCTTTTCCCCTTCCCCTTCCCCTTCCCCTCGTCGAAGGTTCGGCTACAGGGCTATGGACAGGAGAAGCTTGAAACAATTCCTGGGAGTCTTCGGTCGTGGCTGTCTGGGTTTCAGTTTTGGGGTCTCCTTGCTTCTCGAAAGTCTTGGAAGTCAAAACTGAATCTTTCTGGGAATCATTCTTTTGGTCCTCCTCTCTGTCCTCCTCAGGTTCCTCAGGTTTCATTTTCTGAATCATCTCCACCGCTCTTGCTGAACTAGGAGGGGATGAGGAAGACATTCTAGGTGGTGATGAATCAAGATGAGGCTGTATCCCCATCCGAGAAGCAATCAAGACCTTGACATCGACGGTAAGGCCCGGCATGGTATCTAAATCTAAACCTTGATAAAGAAATGTCGCTTTTAGATACAACAAATCCAATCAATCAGCTTGAACGAAATGGTGCGTTGTAAGATATGCTAAAAGTGCCGCAGCTGTTAGCAGCCATAGTACTTTGTAGCATCTTCTGCACACCTTCTCTACGTTTGTCACTGCCGACCGTCCTGACCTGCTCTCAAGTCAAAGGCAATGATAGTAAATAAGTGCCACTGAACTCTGGAACAATTTTGAATACAATGCGCTAAATCACCATGTCACAGGTCAGCATAGATTAGGCACTGAATCTTTCAAAGTGCCCCACGCAACACAAAAATTGGAAGCTAGCAAAAGCAATCCTGGCTCAGGCATCATTCAAAAGCAATCAGCAGACCTGGAAAGGGAGGATAAGGAAATCATCCCAAGGAGGTTGGTAAGTTGAAAGCTGAACTATAGTTTGGATTGTAAAAAAATGATAATATTGGAATACACGAAACCTACAACAATCAGTCACCAACACCATCCAACACCCCACCTTAACTGGGCGACCAAGTTGTAGGGATAGTGCATGTTTCAACATCACATAGGGCTTCTGGAGTTTCGAGCATTGGTTCACCCGGTCGAATCTCACTCGAAAGACTTTGGAAACCATAGTTGAAGCTTCCACAGCCGAAATGGAATCTCCAAACCAAGTCTTGCAAGAAGCCGCTTTTGAGGCATCATTCATAGTCTTGAACTTGTGTCCCTGGGAAATTTTCACAGAAAACCCGTCAGTGTCACCGCCCGACAAACGAGAAACCTCAGAGTATGAGAGTTCATACTTGGTGATCTTTTTCTGGCGTTCCAAAAGTACCATGTATCGGTAAATGGACATAACCTCCGTGTTGGTGGATTCAGGGTTGGTGGATCCATGGTCCACTTGGATCAGTGACTTGTCAGAGTCTGGCCACTCCAACAAAAGCCCTTCCTCCGGGGTGGCCACAGGAACGAACCTTAGTGATGAGCAAACCCCTAACAGGAGTGCAGGTTGTGAAAAGATACTTCTGATAGATCGTAATGGTCTTTGACTACAATCACCTACAATCTAAAAAATAAAACAAACCCCAGTACTGAAGACTCAGCCCCAAAACTTCCCAGTTCCAAATCCTCCAATGATTGTGTATCGTGGAAGGTCCCGGTTCTTCTTCACTGCCACTAGGTAGGTAGACCCTGATTTTCCCCTCAAAAGTTCGACATCGGCAATCTCCGACACAGCCTTGAACTGGATCTCATCCGTCGCCTTCAGAGCGTCCACTGACTCAAAATCAGAGACAGAAGGTGCAGGAACCACCACCTCCGGTTGCTGACCCTCCCCATCCTGGTTGGTAATGGGCACAGGTGGTGAAGTTGAACCTGAACCCCCAGTGTTGATGATCCCAGCCAACATGTTCTTGTAGGTCTTGTCATGTGTTTGAACAAGCTTTTCAAACTCATCAGCATAGTTCCCCCCCTGGGTCTTCCAAAGTTTCGCTTGGTCCGGGTGAATCTCTATGGAGCTTCCGTTTCGAACTGTCACTTCAAGTTTCAAAGCATCAACACTCTTGACAACCTCTGACCCTGGAATTTGGCTCAACTCTTCCTCAGAAAGTTTGACATCAGAATCAGTGTATTTGATACCCGCATGAACCATCCTTTTGTCACACCAGGCATCTAGGAGTTCTCTCACAACCCTAGTTTTCCCATACTCTGCAGTCTCCGGTGAATCCAAAAAGTGGGTGCTCAGGCAGTAGATTCTTTTGAAGTCAATGCCCTCCACCACACCCTGCTGGCGCAAGTTGAAAACCTTAGTCGAAGCAGGTGGCACAGGTGTCCCAAACAAAAGGCCAGGAAGTAAGAAAAGGAATCCATGTTGGAGGGAAATAGTAACAACATAAAATGAATCATTGGAAGTAACTGCAACACCAAACTCTTCCACATATCCAGTGAAATTGATGAGCAACGTTGGTCCCCTCATTTTCATCCCCTTGAAAAGAGAGACAAGGAGTGTCTCAGCTCTGCTAATCCCTTTTTGGGCGGCTGCTTGTTCTGGGCTTGGTTTCAGCCGTTCTGACATGCGTAGGTCTTGGTCTGGGGATCCTGCTTCCGGCAAAAGCAACTCCTGACCCTTTGGTAGTTTGATTGTGGGGGCCCCTGATTCACTCTCGTTCTCACGAACTGGGCGGCCAGAAATGGCCAGGTCTGAGGTTGATAACCATGGGTTCGCATCACACTTGTCGTGGTTCACAACAATCCGTCCACTCCCAAATCGCCTGGAGTTGCTCTTTTGAAGGGATCGTTTGTCTCTGTCGAACCTTAGCTTCCCAGTGTCATTGTACAGCAGGGGTGTCAACATGGACAGAAGCAGGAAAGGGGGGAGGGGAATGGTAAACAAGTTAATGAAACAGAGACAAGTTGAACAGAGTTTCTTTCGATCAAAACAAGTAACAGCTCTATGAATCTTGTGTCGCAATGTTGCCGCAAAGCAAAAAAAGCTTCTTGCAGTGCTTTTTCTTCATCATAGAGTCCACGAAGGCTTGAATCTTTTGGGAGGTCAGGAAAGATTGCCAATCCCACGTTTCTCTCTGGGGCTGTGTTGTTGACAGCAGCAATTCGTTCGGTCAGTGCATCAATGCTACTGCTTGCCCTGCAATTTGGAACATTGAAGTCGCACAAGCTGACAAAGGTGATGTCATCTCCGGTGCAGCCAGCATCCTTTACCTTAGATTGGCACACTTTTAAACAGGAATCACCCAGGCCCCCCAAAGTGATGTAACTTGAAGATAATCTTGTCAAGACTACATTGGTAGGATACGCTGAGGGAAGCTTAGTTTGACGTATTTTGCAGTCGAACCCCCATGTCACCGCAAGACAGTATTATCAAAGCTAATTGAAGCAGAAGGCTTTCAGTCTTCTCAAAGCTGGTGGCTTTGCCTCCGCAACACTAATGGTTTCGGAAATCAAAGCATTGAGAACATCAGAATCAGCTGCGCTTGGGTCATGTGCATTAGGTTCACATGGTGAACCCCCAAAGAACTCCATGGATTCAGTTTCAGAACCCATGCCCTTATCTGAACATGGTGATACTACCTCTGTTTCAGCCACATCATTGCTGCTGGTAGGAGTTGAACTGCCCGAATAGTCGTTCCAACTCTTGGGGATGGTCAACGACAGTACTTCAACCTTGAAACACGTTGGGCCAGTACTTTTAGCATCCGATTCATTGATTGCCTCCTTGGCTGTGTCATCGGGATCCTTCATGAGAACAGGGGATATGTAGTCGTCTAACTGGGCACCATCCTTGGCATCAACGGGAGAAGGCAATGGAACCTTATGCTCAGGGGGTGTTTGAGCATCCTGTGGAACCCATTTGCTAGGAGTGATGTCACCTGAAGTCAAACTTGGTGAAGATGTCACCTCCACCAAGTCAATGTCAAGGGGCTGACCATCCACACACCCAAGGTTGTCGAAGTCACATGTACTAGATGGTGGGCTGTAGTACTTCACTTTGTTGAAATCCCGGTGTGATTTCTTCAAGAAGGACTTGTTGACCACATTAAACCTGGTTGTAACTGGAAACATTCCATTGGTGAAGAACTAAATATTATAGTTGAAGCTATAGCTATAAAGTTATCCATAGTTATCTGTAAATCTTTTTCTCCATGGGCTCAACACCCAAAACTTGCAGGACCTAGCAAAGCTGAGCAACCTTTTCATGGGATTTCGCCCCAGCGAAGGCGAGGTGGGAGATCGGGCACGCTGCATGATGCTGAAGCTACTCTCGACCCAAGGCTACCCACACCCCATATACAATTATATCTTAACTATCCTCAATATAATAGTGACATATAACAAACATAAATATAATATATAATGATTTTAAATGAATTCAATATATATATATATCCTAAACATAATGATTCCACATATCATGTACCTATCTTATGTTTTTTGAAGACCTGTCAACTGTATAGATGCAGATCTCAGGTTTTTTGTGGGTTAAACACTTAAATGCACCCAAGTTGCCACAGCATCTCTCATCTCAGAGATCTCCGAAGTAGTTAGCTCGGTACGGGGCACATGGACCACCCTCAAATACTTCTCGGCGTAGCCAGAAACCGCTGCCTGCATAACCAGGCCGTTTGTAATGTAACTAGATAGATGTTGCTGTTGCTGTTGTTGTTGTTGCTCTTGCTATTTTTCTTAGTATTCTTATTTTGTTGGTTTTGTTGTTATTTCTTAGTGTGTTGTTCCTATTGTTTTGTTGTTTTTTTTTAATGTTGTGTTTGACCCGAAAGCCCAGCAATAAATCAACCACTTGTGAAACGAGTACCATTCGGTGAATGACTTGAAGGCTTTTACCCTGCTTTTTTGTCTATACTTTGACACCCGGATCACACCACCTCGCCTCCCCTGCTTTGGCTTGCTCCTGCATGTGTTTGACCTGCTTTTGATGCAACTTGGTAGCCACTTTCCTTGGAACTTCCTTGATTTTTTCAATCAAGCATTGATCACGCATCAAAGCAGACTTGAAAAACGACCATTGTGCATCCAGGACATCAAGCCTTTGCTTTTCCACTGTCAAACAAATTGCCTGTTCCCGTTGTTGAGCTTGTTCTTGCGCAACAGCACATGACGATGGAAGCATGCTGAGTGAAAAGTTCACTGGTTGTGCATACATGATGAACTTGATGTCTTCATCTCTCTGTGCTGACTCAGAGAATTCTTTCACCCATTTTTTCATGTCAGGTGGTGGCAACCGAGTCTCCAAGTGTGGGACGAGCTGCGCAAACAGGCAGCACAGATTCCGGAGGTTTTTCAGGTTCTCTTCCCCCAGTCGATACTTTTTTTTGTGGGCAGCACTAACCAATTTGGTTTCCCGGTCAAAAGTGCTCTGGATCCTTTTGAAAAGAATGGTTTGACCCAAGTCATTCATCGGTAGCTTGTAGTCAATTGGGACGAAGGCTTCATGATCCAAAGGGTGAAGTTCACACGCAAGGTTTGGTGCCAACCCAGTAGTGGTGCTCCCCAGGAAGAGAAACTGGTAGGATGCTATGGTCTCCCCAAATGGCCCAAGGGAAAATGCCAAATCATGGGTAGAAGCTTCAACAATTCCAAAGGCATCAGGGCATGTTCTTTCCAACCAGTTCTTCACAGCCAATTTTCGTCTCCGGTCTAAAGCAATGGAACCGGCACCGCTTTCATCGGTCTTGCCTGACATAGCCCGTACTTCGGGATGTTGGTTGTATGCATCCATTGCTGCATCAAATCCTAATGGTCCCCCAGATTCATCTTTCATTGCCATCAGGATGGAAGCCCATTGTAGACTTGATACCGGTTGAACACGACTATCAGCATTTTGTTTGACAATCTTCCCAATCAAGCTCTGCAAGGAGTTGGTAGTTGCCGAATCTGTGGCTTTGTAAATGGTGCCAATCACCAGCATGCTTGATAGCAACTGGACCACTTGAGGATGACCAATGAATTCTTTGTGGTTCTTCCAGCAAATCAACATTGACATCCAAACGGTGAAGGCCGATAAGGTTTTTTGTGACCCATCCCCAAACCACAGGGTGCCCGTCGCAAAGTGCTGGCTGTCACAGCTCGCATCCACCTGCTCGAAGGTTGGTGGCAACCGCAGAGAGATTGTTTCCCCCTGGCCGGCAGCCACAAGCTTCGGTTGGACATGGTGCAGGGGAGGTCTATGTGGATGATACCAGTTTTATGTGGGTGGTCCCCTTTATTTATAAAATGTATATATATATAATAAATATTTGATAATATATATATATATATATTATTATATATAATAGATAGATTATATCTATTATAATTTTGATTAACTATCATATACTATAATAATAAATATATATTATATTTATTTCATATATTATATATTAACATATTGTTATAATATATATATTACATTTTATATATATTATAATTATATAATATATATATATATTATATTATTTATAATATATACATTATATAATATAATATATTATATATATTATATTATATTCTATATATAATATTTATAGTGTAGTGTATCCGGGGATGGTTTATGTTGACAAGTTTCATCCATCCATCAAAATACATCCCTGTAATTCACCGAACTGTTGGATTACCTTAAGATGTGAAGCCCAATTTTTATGAGTATAGAGTCCTACCATCCACTGGGTTTTTCGCCGAGGAATCCCATGGTATTTCAGGGAATGGTTCGCCGAGCATTTCCAGGGAAAACCGTTCGCCGAGGTTTTCGGCGGCCATCCTCGCCGAGGAGTTTTTTGGTTTCCAGTAGGGTTGCCCAACATTTCTACCGTTTCGCCGAGGTGTCCAGTGGACACCTCAGCCAAAGTGTGGGTTGCCATATATATATGATCCATTATTGGCCTACAAATCCTTAGTCACTTAACCCCCAACACCAATAACCATCATTCCTGGGATAGGGTTTTGGCCGAGGTGTCCAGTGGACACCTTGGCCAACCAGAACTTTACAGGAATCTTCCTTTTGCCGAGAAATTTGTCATCCTGTGTCATAGGTAGTAGCAAGCAAGAACCCCAAAATCCTAAATCCCAAAAACACCAGGCCTCTCGAAAACGGCTAAGGGAGATAGACCTGGCTGTGCCGATGATTTCGGACATGGCCACATGTTTCCCACGCCAGAAGGATTCGTTCTGGAAACTCCACATCAGCACGCTAGTCTCAAAGGAAGCTCCAGCTTGGGGTGGCCACTCCTGTGGACAAGGATTGTTGTTTTTGATTAGGCTATGTGATCCCAAATCAAATTTTCAAAATAAGGGATAATAAGGGGAAGTTCTGAAATCGAAAACCTACTTTGGTGAAACAAACCTGTCCTCAACCGTGCAAAACTTGGTTTTGAGCTCGTTGACTGTTGCATCGGGATCCAAGATGCCGGCTGCTATCAGCATCTCACAGCTCTCAGCCATAAGTCTATCTGGGGATTTCCATGCTCTTTGGGCAATGTCCTTGAAGGTACCACCCTGTTCAACTGGCCACACATACTGTTTCCCGGAACCATCAAGGGGAAGTTCATTCAAGCCCTCGGTTGGTATGTCGGCATCTGTTTTGTGCCGAAGGGAGTACATTGAGTCAATGCAAGCATTGCAAGCTAGCATGAGGGGGCAAACTGATTCCACATTGCTGGCTGTTGCCAGACTTTTGTCACCTGAAGCGAAAGCCTTTGCGACCCCCGCCGCCCCCCGAAGTTTCTTCTTGGGAGGCATGGCCCTTCAACCTAAGTCCCTCTTGAACCTGTGCTGAGGCCGAGGAATGCTGGACGAGAAGAATGAAAACTATTACACTGAGAACTGCTGAGAGTCTTGGCCCCCGAGTATGGTCGTGTGAAAATTGTTTTCCATCAAAAGCATCACTGTGATCTTCGAGCTGAACAACTTTTTTGATGGCGCCATGCTTGTTGCAAATGCTCTCTCTAAGATCTCATGAATTGACAGCAAAAATCACCAGTTCTCCCGGGGTTAGATTCTTTTCGAGTTCATTGTGCTATTGCTATTGGTATTCAATTTTTAAAAAACACATGAATATTTTCTTCCCAGGAAGGTGATGCCGAAGGTCAACTTGAATTAATAATTTACAAGATCATACCACAACAGCCTCCTCACAAGGCCGTAGCACGTTTGGAAGGGTGCCAGCAGCTGAGGACGCTGAGAATCGCTGCAGCGCAAACCCCAGCAGTGAACCTTGTTGGTGGGGCCAATGGGCTGTAGAACCCAAAACCGGTTGACCAAAATTTTTGATTTTGTGCAATGCATCAGTTTTGGAAGACCCTGCAAACAAACAAATTAAGGGATGTACGAATTACCAGCCAGATCCGACTGCTGCTGTTCTGAGAGCCGGTTGATCTGATAGTGGGCAATGTCCTCGATGCCAAGCCCTTGCATCTTCAGTTTCTCCTGGAACGGTGCCAAGCCGGAAGGTTTTTTATCTATGATATTGTGTGATATAAATGTGTTCTATACCTATACCATCCTATACCACCCCTGGATAAGATGAACATTGTATCAAGACACCAAGATTAAGCCATTATTTCCGACTCCCAACCCATCCTGCCCGCTCAAGCATCGCCATTGACTCGTAATGACATACTTGCCATGGGGGATCAAGCATGGACACAGGAATGGATTTGATCGAACAAAGGTGTTTCGCTCATAGTTCTGATCCTTAGACATCAACCACCAATAGGCATCAAACCAGAAATAGCAGAAACAAGATTTTCAGAGTCAGAAGGAACAAACATGAATCGCTATTCAATTCATCAATCGGAAACTTATTCAAACCGCTGGCTGAGGTTTGGTCCACTTGGCAAATCATCGGTTGAGTCAGTGGGTCGAGGCCCCTTTGCTGCAGGATGGTGATGGCTATGGAAAGGATGGACAGCTCCCGGGGTGTGAGCGGCATGCCTTTCTCACTCAGCAGCTCGAGATTCTTCTTCACCGCTGCCTCAGGGGCATAATAAATGATTAATTTTTAAGTATTAATCTATAGGGGTCATGGTCATGGATATGATATCTACAAATATAGGGGTCATGATCATGGATATAATAATCTACAAATCCCCTTTGAAACCATTTCATACATTGGGTGTGGATTTGGAAAACTGTTTTCTTTTGGGCATTGGACTGCCTTACCGTATTTCCTCTTCATTTTCTCGAAATCCGATTGCCACTTCTTTCCGGAAGCTGCTCGTGAGATGTTTGGAGTTTCGGAGGCCAAACAAGGGTCAATGATCTTGTAGATGGGCAATGGCTGAAAAGTCATGTTCAGAAACAAAGTTCGTGGGTCTGGCCCAAACTGCTTCAACTGGGTTTTCTTCAGGTACAAACCCCAGCATCTGCTGCGGCTCTGGGGAACCCCATAATCATGGGAAGACACCAAGGCATGGATTGGGACAAACCCCCTCTTCTCTAGAGCTGAGTTCTGAATGTCAATGGGGCATTCCCCATTGAATTGTTTCCGTTTGTGTGTTAAATTCCGTACATTCTCTGTAACCAGCCATTCCAACTCATCATTGTAGTCACAGTAATCTAGAAGGGATCGGAATCCTGACCCCGTGGCTGAAGCAGCATCCAAGAAAGAGCTCGGGCATGAATTCTGGGCTGAGATGGAAGTGCAAGGAAATCCCATAGTGAAGCCCGTGACCTATACAGGGTAGAGACATATTGTTGATTAGAACTCTTGACAAAATCCTACCAGCCCCTTGTAAAGATTTGTCACTTGTCAAGTCAAGTTCTTCAAAATGATTTTGTCCCCCGAACCTTAGGCACCACATGGAACTGCTGAGTGACCGCATCCTTCCCACGCCCGGAGCCCAAGCATGTCATGTCCTCGAAGATGATCTTGGGCTGAAAAGCCTTGGCAAGCCACTTGGCTTTCCATGGCTCCTTCTCGCACATGAACACCGTCTCGAACTACAGGGGGCCGAGTCAGCTTGGGAGTAGTGTTTCTATTGTATTGGAATGGAACATTCTTGGAATCAGCTTTACGCTAACACAACTATATAAGTTTGAAAAAGATCTTATTACTTGTTTGACATACCCCTCATGCCTTCAAAGCTGGAATTGGGTCAAGGAGTTCTCGCAGTGCAGGGTTCAGCTGATCGAACACCATGTCTGCAATTCCCAAACCACTACAAATAGAGGCCACCTTCACCGTGTTGTTCCCGGTGCTGGGAAGGTTCGAGTGAGTAGATTGCAGCCCAGTCTTGACCCCATCCACTTTCAGGAACTCTTGGATCACATTGGAAACCTCATTGGTTGAAACATTTTACATTTTCTATGTGTGGAACATTACACTTTCTATTACTGGAATCCTCATTGGTTGGGCACCCAAAGATCAAAGGTTCTAGCCGCAACACCCAAACACCATACCAAGGAGCGCTGATGCTGCGGAGAGGACACTCAGGCAGGGCAGTGTCTTTCGGGGCATCATCCTCGGAAGCCTGCATGATCTCCGACTCAGACTCTTCTGGCCTCATTCAAACAGTTATGTCTTGGGTGACTATATGGGAACTACTGCAAGTGGTCAATAAAACATATTGGAGTGGATGGGAGCCTATATGGAGTAGACTGCTGTATTCCCCAAAATAAAAACAAAGAACCAATGGGAGCCTAGCAACATCACTTGGCTCTTTCGGTCTTCTTCGTCGCTAGCCAGAAAGATAGACTCATCAGCACATGGTTTCCTTCAGGGCGTGGATAGAGAACCATTGAAATTCAGTTTGAATCACAAAAGTTTTGAGTGGCAGTTTTTTTCTAGCGCATGTCACATGTCAATTGGTGCAAGAGCTTCGTCATCATCCGATGGGCCATCATCGAACTCATTGGGGTCAACATTGTATGTCAAATCCACGTGCTTGATCCTGCTTGGAGCCTCCCATGACGGAGTGGCCGGGTCCAAATGAAATGGCACCTGCCATCGGTGCAGTAGATGGTTGTAGGCAGAAGGTCTTTGTTGGCGTGGCCAATCCCCCTGACTCCAGCTGGAAAGGTAAGTGAAAGCATCTTGGTTGATGATGCCATGTTGCAAGCATTTGGAACCGACTGTTCTGATGTTCTTTCTGACCTTGTCGCTCAGTGGCCTCCGCTCAGCCAAACCAACTGGCTGTTGGAAGCCAAGCTCCAAAGCTCGGGCACGGTCTTGGGTCATGACAACAACCACTGCATAGGGTTCTGCATCAGCCATTCTTTTTTTGGCAATCAGGACTATGTCTCCAGGTTTTGGGGGATGCTGACCCCGAAGTTCTTGAGTAGTGCACCAGCCCATGGAGCTTGGGTCAACATCACACCGGCGAGTGATTCGCACAGAACCCACATATCCTGAGATCTGGACTAGATAGTGTTTTAAATTTTAGATAGTGGATGGTTGGTGGTTCAAAGACAGTTGGCATGAACCAAAGTATGGAAATTAAACATGACTAAGTTAAAACCAAAGATCGCAAACCTTTGACCCAAACACCTGCAACTGCAGACCAATCCTTCCACTCCGCCACCTCATCAAGTTTGGAAGCAACAGCTTCAACCTTGTGGGTTTTGTGACGCTTGCGCTGCTGCTCAGCAGGTTCAGTAGGACGACAGCAACTGTCCAGGATTTCAACTACTTGCTCAGGAGTGTCAAAAGTATGCCGGCAAATCAGAGCAGCTTGTTGAGAGAAAGCTTGATCCAAGTCCTCGTGACCTTGGCTTTAACCAAAGGGCATGTTAGGAAGTCCAGACCCGGGTTTTGGGTATTCTAATGTTGGGGTTCCCATGGGTTTCCCATATATTCCAAATCCAATTGAAAAAATAAATTCAAAGCTAGGAGCTGTGTCCACTTCGAAGAAAACTGCAAACACAGAACCTGAAGCACCGAAGTGCAACCAACAAAATCATATGGGAAATGATATGCCGGTTTTTGCCCTCTCTGTAGCAATTGTCTTGTTGAAGAGTCAATCCCAAGGGCAGTGATTGAAATCGCTGGTAGACATCCGACAAAGTTCGGCTGAGAACTTCCTGCTGAGTTGTTGAATCCTTCCGTAGATCTTCATCGCTCACAAAAAAACCCAGTTGGTGTCCATGAAGCCAAGATCCTGTCACATGTAAGGTTGGCCGAAACAGAGCCTGCAGCATTTTTGGATTGTTCCCTCGTTGTACTCTTGGAATCCGGAATTTGCTCTGATCCATCCCGTCAATGTTGACACATAGACAGTTGGATGCCACAGAGGTGATCAGCATCCTTAGGGGTTAAAGGATGGATCCTGTACAAGCCATTTTTAGGGGTCAATACCATACCAGAATCAACAACATCAATTTAGTGGCAAAGCAGCAAAAGATGAAATGAAACCAATCAAGAATCTTATGTCCCATCTCTGTCATAGTCTTGACCCATGTATGAGACATGGTTCTGAAACTCCAGTACTGCTGTCTGTCAAGCCACTGTGACAGGAGATGTTGGCTGTAGAGTCTGTATGCCTCTTTGCGCTGTTGATTGGTATGGGTCTGTTTGATTTTCAGTTTCAATTCATAGCACACATTGCATTTGCCATGTTGGTTCACTCCCCGGAATCTGAGGTGACCCCCTCTCATCCCTGGCCGTAAGATGCTGTTTGCTACTCTCAAAAAGGTAGAATAACTACCAGCTTCGATGTTCTTGGCCAAGCAAGATGCATAGTATTCCCAATATAGTTCAGTACGAGAGGATGCCTGTAACCACCGACATGGCCCTGAGAAGGTTCCGGGGCCAATTAGGTGCACATCTGGGTCAGTAGAATAGGTTTGCAAGCTCAGCAGAAAGTGATTCACCAAACGGCTCTCAAGGTCTGGATCTTTGGTTTCAGGAACATCTATTTCTTGGTCTCTAGGCATCTTGAAACCGGTTGGCATTACTTCAGCACAACTTTGGTAGGTCTGCCAGAGAAACATGACCACTCCAGTCCACTTGTTGGAAACATTGCTGTCATTCATGGTGAAACCAAAGATTGGATGCTTCGGCGCAGTCTTCCGTCTCCGGTTCGTGAAGGCTTGTTCTCCGGCTCGGATTCTCTGCAAAGTGCTGCTCCCTACACCGATCAACGCCTGAAGAGCGTGGACACAGACTTCCTTGCCCAAGAAAGTAATTTGAGACCTCCGGATTTGATACTTTCGTTTAGGAGGAGGCCGATCTTCATCATCCGAAGCCAGAAAAATGCTATCATCAGATTCATCAGAGGTTACGGCCAATAGTTCTTCTTCAGAATCAGTAGCCAGCAACAAGTCAGAATCAGAGGGTGGGCAGTCAGTGTCCACTGGAGCAGCAGCGGAGAAGAGCTTACTGCAATTGAATAACTCTCGGACTGCATGTTCCTCACTTTAGTCAGAGGGCCACCAATTCAATAGAAGTTCATTTTTTTGTGGGGTCATCCTTTTGGGAAAAAATAAATTCCATAGTAATATAATTATATTATACCCAATATACATCTTAAAAAATGATGCTACTATCAATGGAGAAGGTACTCTGTCTTCAGAATCCAGGGATGCCAGCTCTGACCGTTTTGCAATGACCAGTTTCTCACATCCAGAAAATTGATGGAAGCATGTTTTCCGGTGACACCGGCATGATCTGGATACCAGCTCAAAGACATCAATTTGCTCATGGCCCTTTAATTTGGCTTTGCCTTGGAAACCTATTGCCTTGCCTTGGGCATGGCAACCGGAATCTTCCTCATCCGAAGCTAGTAGCATCCGCCCACCGGCATTCCCCCGCCGGCTAGGCTTGAGAGGCAATGATTTTTAATCCGTGTGTATGTGTATGTGTTAGCTGATATTTCAAAATAGCCATCACCAGAAACAAACCATAACTTGGTGAAACCATTTCAGTCATATAAATTCCGTGGTTTCAAGTAGTAATGACTTACTGACGCAAATCATATCTATATATGCCACACCCATCCACACACCATATTGTACCCACCTCAACACAGGTGGGTATAGAAATCAACACAACACTGATTCCAATCATATGTATGTATATATTATATATATACCTTAATTATACTTGTTTGTGTTGTGATTCTCCATCTACTGTGAATTCTGTCGTCTTTGAAAAACTTAATCCCAAAATGATCCAGAATGCTATGATACCATCATAATGCCTGCCTTTGGTCCCTACCAAAACCCTGGTCCTCTGCTTGGGCTTCGCTTTGGCTTTCTCAACCTTGGGCTTCACCGCCGTGGCAGGCCTTTTTCTGGAGCCGCCAGCCGGCTTCTTCATGGCGCTGTGGCAGCGGCGCTATGCGGCGCTTTCACCCAACCCCAACCCAAGGGGTGACCTTTTCATGGGATTCCTGACATGGAATAAACATGAAATTGGTGTTAAATGGTGTTAAACACTTGAATCTTCTCCGCCACATATTCAGCTTATGCCCGGGAACCAAGAGATAGCGGGGTACATGCACAGTTCAATGCACATCCACTCAGAATCCTCTAACAACCCAGAGGTTGAAACAACCAAGTGTTGTGGAAGTTCATTTCAAGTGCCTCTTGTACCAGCCAGCCACAGTCGTCGCAGTCCACGCGGTCCAAGTTGCAGCAAACTCACGTCCCTTCGCAGCAAGGACAGCCTCACTGGAGTGGTTTCCAGATTTCCAGGTTCACCTTTCTTGTCCAAACAGATCCCAAAATGGGGGGGAAATGAATGATTTATGATATGACGGCCAATCTATAATGATAACCCAATAAACAAGAATAATAAGCCCAATCTATGATCATTTAATATCCTTTATGGTTATTTTAATGGAAACAGCATGAACGTATACATGATGATAAACCTCGGGATCGTTTGGATTTTGGAGTAGCCGTCATTTTCAGCATGCAAGCCATTTTTTTTCAACGCAGGCTGGGGGTTTTCCAGAACATGGCTGATCAAAACCCAGGAACCTACCATCCTGGTGTAGGCATCATACCAACCCGCTGGTTGGTTGAAAAGTCAGGGTTCCCAGTTAGGTCATAATGACATACAATAAACATCAATAAACCAGGGAGTAAAACCATGTATAAGTGTGTAACCCCTATATACCCCTATAATAATGACCAATCAATCGACATGGACTGTGGTCAGTTCATTCATATTTCACTGCTCAGGTGATATCGGATATGTGAAGGTCCCAGTCCGTGCTCAGCTTCGAGCGTTTTCGCCATCCTGCCGTTGGGTTTCTGCAGAAGTTGGATGTCCCAGCTGTCACCCGACTTGAATGTGCATACCCCTTGGTAATCCCAATAGTTTCTGCTAAGTCTCCTAACTTTGTCCATGACAAAAATACGTCATACTGAGTCATACTACGAACCATACGACATTCCGTCATTTCATCATATTTCAGAATCACTGGTTTTCACTGGTTACTGACCATTAAAACACATTAAAACCAACAAGTAACGCTGTACCTTTTTGGACGGTAGCAGCTAGCCTGGCCCGGCGTCGGACTCCGCTCGGCCAGGTCTTGCCTCGGGCGCCAAGGGGAACAGCTAGACCTAGCAGCTGGCACTGGAAAACTCATGAAACTCGCACAGTATCATAAGGATCTATCGGCTAAAATCTAAAAGCTACGTATGTTTCGCCCTCTTTGAAACTGCAAATTGATTTTAGGTCAAGAACTTCCAAAAATGAAGGGAGGAATCTTCTCTAGGCCAAAGAAACGGAGAGCCTAAAGCCTACCCGTGGCGACAATGGAGCTTTTTCCGGCTGTGTTCTACGTCTGAGTCACTAGAGCGAATGGAAGATTCCCCTTACATCTGATCCAAGTAGCCCTCAGAGATGTTGTGGGAAGGACCGTGAATACTGCATACTTTGTGATAGCTCACCAACCTGGAATCAAGACATTTTCGGCTGTTCCGCTTTCAATTATCATTTGTTCCATTCTGATAGCACCCAAGGGTTTGCTGTCACCCTCCCATTTCGTCATCCCCCTGCGCCAATGCAACCCACGCGGCAACCGGTCACGCATGGCTCCTGTGCACAAGCGCTCATTCAGTTCATTGGATTTCATTGAACAGACATTGCAGCCTGGTTTTGTCATTTAAGGTCAGGTTGGACTATAGTGACTATAGCTATACTCAAATCAGATTTCAGTATCACCGAAAGAATCGAAGGACCAGCACAACTAGTCTAGCTGGAAGACCTTCAAGGAAAAAAAATACCTGAAACAAATCAAACATGGGTTTGTCTGAAACCCAATTTAGCCCATATTTAGCCCTATAATGATGATCGATCATCATTTCCCGCATTTCCCTCATTTTTTAATGGTCATAGATTGAGGACAACCTCCCTGTTGGACAAGCATCAAGGCCTCCAACGCATCTACAAATCGCGTCACGATGGGAGGCTGCGGAGTTTCTAAATGTCGCGGAAACACGATACTTTTAATACTTTTTAAGTCATATTTTAGGGGTCTTTGCAACAGCCTTTGTCCTGCAACATACCAGATCTATGACAGTTCATCCGCACCTCAGGGTCATGACCGAATAAATGATGGCCTGAGACTCGTTGGACGTTGAAAGTTCGTAAGCCCTGGTGTTTTGCTTTTCGATAGGGACTTGCTCCGTGGTGGCCCATCCCATTTGTACCTTCGTATGATTTGAACCAGAGCGGCAAATGTGAAGGGGGAAGCTACCGTGGCTGAACCAAACCTTCTGGTGGGCATGTTCATCTGGGATTTGATCCGTTTGGGATAGATGCGAAAACCTGAAAAGTCCCTCAATGCGGATGGCCTTGAGACTTATAATGGGAAAACCTGAGGTTGCTAAACGTGTTCCTTGTTCCACAATATTCTGCACAGCATCACCACTTTTCACAGCATTCGACAGGGCGTTGCGTTGTCTTATGATCTTGGGCGTCAGTGCCCGCACCCGTGCCCTTGAGTTTCTATTGACCGCGCTGGTCAGTTGACTCATCACCTTCACTGCAGGGTCACCAGGCAGAAATTGGAGACCTGGAACGGCCGTTGCCTTCACCTTGGGCGGCTGGGGCTCCTCGCCTCGGCGCAGCTGATGGACTGATGATGGATCCTCGGCTTTTGGCCTATGATATAGTAAGTACCTTAGAATGATGGAATCAAGAATTATCTAAGTGGTATGATCACGTATGATCTATCTGAGAAAATATATGAAAGAAATCAAATTAGACATGGACCAAAGCATGATTCACAGGAGTCCGTTGACAACTTCTTCGGAGCGTTGCCCCTTTCCCATCCTTTTCCCCTATCCCACCTCAATCCACCGTGCTGATGGGTCGTCTAGGTACATCGTCTCGCAGAACCTCGGCAGGGTTCCAGAAAATTCCGGACCGGAAAAATGTCTTAAGATCATCCTATTCTTAATTCAGACTCTACGTACAAAAAGATTGCCAAGAAACTCAAAGAACCCTTAAATGTCCTCATTGTGTCATGCATCCTCATGCCAATTCTTTGGCTTTTAAACTCCTGTTGTTTTTGTTAGGCCTTGAAATACCTCCGTGGCTCCATCCGCATTTCCATCCGTAAATCACTTCTCGGCATCTTCCTGTGGCCGGACATGGGGTTGCGAGGCCTCTTCGTGGTCCCCATGTCACAGGTATGTTCATGATTGTTCATGGCTCATCTTCCTGTTGATTTATGAAGATTCGTGATGATTCATGAATATCTATGACAAGGCCTGCTTCTTGATGATCAGATTGAGTTACAGCAACCCAGATTTGCTTTGATTCACTATTCTTGACTTGGGTATCCGCCTTTTGAACATACTGATTTGTGGAATTTGGTATAAGGATCCAAAAACTGCTGATGATCCTGGTGAATTCCGTGTCACCCATGGTCAATCCTCCTCAACACCTTCCACGTCCAGCTGCAAAATTTCTACCTCAGCAGTGGGGATCATAGTGCCCTTTCAGAGGAAAAGGGTGGGGTACCAAAACCAAACATAGTTGGATAACAATGTACTACAATATGCATAACAATGTAAACATTCTATAACATTCTATAACAATATATGTTATATTATACATATCAACCAACAATCACCAACAATATGATATGGATTTGTCTGAAAATGATACAGTAGAAGTAAGCAAGGAACACCTCACGGTTTTGAAATCCTTTTCCCCACTAAAATAGCAATCTTTACATATTGGTTTCTACCATTTCTGGAGACACAGAAATGACAATCTTTCAGTTCTCTGTTCAAATTTTGGCTTTGGTGTAACCGTTGCACCATGTTGAATCCCAATGAAACCTCAAGTCAATAGGTTCCAGTACCTCATCTGCCTTCCAGGGGTGTATCAGCCCTGACTCTTCCACCAGGAAGCCCGCTGCTGGATATTCGACAACGGTTGAGGGTGAACAAAAAAAATGTGGCACCCAAACAATTTGTCCAAATAGAATAATTTAGGTCGATGTTTTCGAAGGGAAACTCTGCTTTTGGGTTAGTTCTCCAACTGAAAGCTCCAAAATTGAGTGCGAAAGTGGAAAGTGGTTCAAAATTACCAAAATTATCCAAAATTTGGGTTACCAAATGGACCGTTAAGGGCTTCAAGAATCCAGCCGAATCTTGGTTCGCCAAGCCGACCTCGGCCGCCGCACTTGCCCCTGGAGGAAGCTTCTCATGGAGGGTTTGGTTCGACCCAGGTCGCCATGCACAAACTCCTGGGGCGGCACGATTCAAAAACGCCCCAAGGGGGTTCTCCCCCCCCAAAAAAATATATAGATTGATAATGCTTGATACATGTGCTTAGTTTGCTTCTGTTTGTATTGAAGTTTAATCTCAAACCAACAATACGGTTGACGAACAATTCAAATCAATTAAATAAGGTTTGAAGGGATGTAACAAACAAAACACGTGGGTGATCACAAATGGCATGTACGATCATATATATATATATATATCATATATATATACGAAAATGAATGAAGCATCGAAAAGGTTCGACCCATTTGAACTGGCCACTGCTCACTTGTGAGATAAACCATGCCATGCAACTGCAAATGGGGAAGGAAGATTCACAGTGCCCATCTTCCAGTTCGAATATAATTGAACATTCCGTTTTTAGAGACGAAGCAGCATGCACTTCCTCCAGTCTACAAAGAGGCATGGACACTAGGGTCGTAGGGATAGCAGGTGGCCGTACAACATGCCAAGCACTAAATTGGCATGCTACGTCTGGTGGTAGTATCAGCTATAGCATCTATTCCTGGGGAACTGGACAAAAAGATCCTTCAGTTTGTTGAAGACAAAATGGCTGCCAGTAGTCCTTGATGTACATGCCAGCCTGTAGCAACAGCGAAATCATCCAGGCTCCAGCATCTGCTGTGGGTAAAGATCAAGTCTGGAAAACACATCCCGGCTTGGCGCTGGTACGACCGGTACGGGTACGACTATTACATCAGCTCAGCCATTATTTTGGGTGGTGAAATGAACTTTGGACTTATCATGACTCATCACACATACTGCCAATGCTGTTAAACAAAAATCCTCCTTTTTGTCCATGTCACCTAACTCCAGCCTGCGCACAAACTTGCAGCTTGAAGTAGTGTTGATTAATGACCTGCTGGCTGGTGCTCCCTCAGGTTGTGTATCTTGGCTGTAGGATAATGTCAACTCCAAATACTAATAAACCCTGGTTGATAAAAAAAAGTGGTGATTACCCCAAATAGTGATAAATGGCTACTGAAATGGTACCCCGCAATTAAACAGCCTAGGGATTTATTAATCCGGGGTTGACCTTACATAAGATGCAATGAAAACACGTACAAACAACCACGCCATATATGGTTTGGAAACCATATATTATCATTTTGCATCTTTGACCTGACCAGTCCTGTCTCTTGGCTGAAGGTTAGGGTGGGTGAATACCTATGGAATCCTATGGGACTGTCAGAATGGGTTCCAGAAGCATGAGCTATTTTGGGGGCTACAGCAGGGTGTCAAAGTCTTGCCCTCCCAAATAATAACTACCCTATATAGTATACATGTGACCAGTGTTTCTCAGGTCTTTAATCGTGAGCGGGGAAAAGGAATGCATTGTTAAACCCCAATTCTTGTTGGTAGAATCCCAATATTTGTTGCTGAAATCACCATCGTTTGTTGGTCAAAGTTCATATCCCAATTTTTGGTCAAATCCCAATTCTTGTTGGTAAAATCCCAATGTTTGGTCAAATCCCAATTCCTGTTAGTGAACTCCCAATTTTTCTGAATGATTTCTCCATTTTATATAAAAAAAAAATCTTCAAGGCGATCGGAACCTCCATCTTCAAGGCGTAGACCGTCCTTGGCCTGGTCGCCAAAGCCTAGGAGTTGCTTCGCAGGTGACGTTTTTTGGTCGTCCAGGGACAGAAATCACAGGCAAAATCACCAGTTTCCGCAGGTGAAATCCATTGAAATCCCCTTTTTTCCTGGTTCCGATCCTCCCTTTTTGATGGTTCCGCCACCCCTAGCATCGGCCCAAATTTCAGGGTACCCAAGCGCGGCGATGTAACACCCGCACAGGCGTCTTTTGCTGCACCTGAAATATCAAAATGGGTTTGTCCTCAAAAATTGGACATTTATCCACAAATAATTGGGGTATCAAACTCACTAATGATGCAGGAATTTAGGTTTTGACAGTCATAGTAATTGGATGTAATTGGGGTATGTGATTGCAGTTTCAACTCACGTTATCCTCAAAATACTTGGCGTATCAGACTTATTAAAGCAACCATCTCATGTAACATATGGATATCAATCCAAACATTTGAATCATTTTGATGGGGATATCATGAATTCTAATAATGTTTAACCAAATTTAACCAACATATTGTGATAGTCACAAGCTGTCCAAACATGGGCAAGTCATCACCAATCTATATGCCGTTTTTTTACGGGAAAAATGATGACCGGCCATGTAATTTTGGGGTACACTATGTTCAGACAAAACCAAACAGGTATGGCGATCCATTTTGCCTCGTAAACGGGCATGAGACGCAGATCTTGTTGAATTTACTTCTATGACACCTTAAGCGTGGAGCTTTCAGAAAAACAACTTTCAAGCTGACACTCAAATTACTTGCCAAGGTCAACGATTTCGAGCCATAAGTATATGTTCTGGAAGGTGAATGCTGAGAAGTGGCTCCATTGCCAGCCTTTAGGGTCTTTGGACTGCTGCCCTTGGGACAGCATATTATTCGTGTATGGTGGATCAATGTCGATATTCAACCACGGATGCCTTCGACATGCCCAAACAAACGAAAAGAACTACCCTACAAGTGGCATACAATACATTCAAACACCGTCCAGTTGCTATATGACATTGATACGAGATCTCATATGATTTGCTGGTTACGATGTTGAGATGTCCCTCTTTGACTTTCACAGTAACCTTCATCCATAGATCCCATGGCCGATCCCATGTCGCTGCGCCTCAAATGGTCCTCTCTGGTTCAGCTGCTCCACATCCTTCCTGGACAAGCATTTCTCACTCCAACACACCTGCAGCAGGCTTTACCAGCCGCGGGCCCACCGGTCATGAAATCTCATGAATCTTCAATGGGTACCTCAAGCAAACGCTTAGCACTAGGATTGGTGAAATGACGGAACTAGCCACTGGAATGGCACTTCGGTGCCAGAATAATCAGAATAGATTGAAATGAGAATGGCATTCGATGCAGTGTCAACATCGAACAAAATATAACAAAATGCGAGTGCATCTCCAGCTGTCTAGGTGCTGGCTGCGGCTGAATTTGAATCAAATCTGTTGAGATCCCCCTGCCTCAGTTTTTGTTGGTCCATATATTACACAATATATCATGGGTAGCACGGGAAAAATAATGTTTTTGAGATTTTTTGAGTCACTTTGAGGGCTTCCCAATGTACCAAATTAAGTTAAGTGATCGTTTCATCATCTTACAATATTTACAATATCTTATACTCCAAATCAGGCTCTGCCTAATGGATCTAGTTGATTCTATTTGGACATTGGACATCACATTTGCGGGACATGTTTTTAACCTATGCCCAGCTGAGCCCAGCTGAGCTCAGCTGCCCAGCATTTGACACAATGTCCATCATGGCTTCTCACTGGGTCACCCGAGCAGCCAAGTACCTGGACACAGATCTGAGAATTGAACCAGCAAAATGTATCAAATTTCTGGGTTATGGGGTTTGCAAATTTCTAAGGCCTTCATGATTCCGGCAAGATTCGGGGTCCGGCTTTTGAAGCCATGGTGATCCATAGTGGCGAGTGCGATAACAGCCTTGCCTCGACGGGTATTTTTTACCATATAATTACTCAGGCTCTGGATTGAGCTCACCCTGTCATAACAGTCCTTCGTATTCTTATCCATATCCATGTCTTTGACAAGTATCAAAATCAAATCACATAGCATCTATTCTGTGGGTAACTTACAACATCATTTGCCAACGGAGACTTGGTGCCTCTATGAACACGTACAGAACAACCCCAAGGAACCGTTTTAACCAGCAAAATGCACATTGCGCTGATGTTTGAAAACGAGTAAACGTTTGAAACGCCGTGAAACTTCCGCTAGTGGCTGTCGATTCACAACCTCACAGCGATATGTTACACCCTTCCCATTTAATGGGCAGCTGGCAGCTGGTGAAAGGCCACATCTTTGTGAGTGCCAAATTAACAAGCCCACCAAACAACATGGGCCAGACATTCAGCACAAACATCTGATCATCGTCCAAAAAGTCAACCATATCAACCGTCCTTTGGGAGTCACTTGTGGATTTCAGGAAATTTCAGAGTTTGCCCCAGATCTTTTGGATTTCAGCCTCAGGTGATTCAGGTGATTCAGGTGCAGGTCACATCACTTCACACCACAATGACAACTACACAGCTGCTGCTCCTTACCAGCCTGTCTATTTGCCCAACTTCCTGCATCATCGTATATCTTCCGACCTGCCTGCTAAGATACGTGGGGAAACAAGTGTATTTGGTTCATGCTAAGGGCTAAGGGGATTCCCCTTTTGAAAATCAAGTCATCATCACGGTGACCTGCTGAATTCAGAGGCTGATCTTCCTGAAAACATGACAGCAAAAGCATCAGTGGCTGTTCAAGCAAGTCACGGCCACGTCTCTTTCCTCCATCTTCTTTCCATCAATGTAAAGTATTCTTTTGAAGATCTCTGCATTTTGTTTCCGTCCGTGAACGTCAGGAGGTTCTGGTGGATATCTATGTCCCAACTTGATGGGGATAATCCTCAAACTATTCTCTGAAGCGTACCTCGAGGCCACATGCTTGGTCAGGAAGGGTCACAATTCTGGGTGCAAGAAGTACACTCCGGTAATCAACCATGGAAAATCGAAAATTCCCGAACAAAGTGGAGGTCTTCATGGGAAAAAAATATCTACCACATTCTACAACTATATAGGGGCCATTGCCATGTGGATTACCGGAGAAAACGGTGGTGAAGCCGTGAAGCCGTGAAGCCAAGGCACTTCAGCTCGCCAAAAGAATCACCCTCAGACCCTGTGTACTCGCCATAGTCCTGGGAGATTGGACACATTTGGACACCAGGTAACCATAGGTGACCTATGAAGCCTCCTGGGGTCCTGGTTTCTTATGGGTTTCTCCATGGATGGGGATGGGATGTCGTTTTCCATCGTTTTCCCATGCCGAAAACCTCAAGCCATGCATCTTCGAAGCAAAACGCCACCAAGGCATTGGCCTGGCAGCAACCAGTCGTGTGCGGATTAGAGGTCACATGGAAGGATTGGTCAGAATCCAAGAGCTGTTGGAATACAGATCTTGGTCAGGTTTTGCTAGCCAAGGACTCTTCAGCCAGCTCATTTAGACCCATCTAAAGCATTCTAAAGCAACACAATGTTTAGAATTTTCGTGGATTCTTGTGGTAGGTTTTAATGGAACATGTTTCAGCTGGTTGCCGTTGGAGTCTTGGTGGCCAAGGCACGTTCTGCAAACCTTGCATTGCCAGTTCGCGATGCCCAACGTCTTCTCCCTGACCCACAAAAGTTGGAACCCCCATAGCATCCAAGAGATACTTCATCCTCGCCAGCTGATACAAGTGGCTCCACCACCATAAGACGATATGAAGATGGGGAGATTACGTGAAGTCACCAACTTTGAAATTAGCGTGGAGAAGATTATTAATATACACCGTATACATCAGGATTAAAAGGAGGGCTAGAACCTGAGGTAGTGGAAAGTCCCAGTTTCATCTGCCTTCATGGTTTTTTCCGCTCATTGCATGCCATGATAAGAAGATCACCTCATGCTGTCATGAATTTCCGAATCTCAAATGATTCGGCAATCCTAGAATCCCCGAGCATCTCATTTATGGTTGGTTTGAATATGTCTTTCAGGGTGGGCATCCTCTGAAATGTCCTGGTTTTGTAAAATCTCACATGAAAGCGCGTAGCAAACCACAGTGTCAGGACACCAGCCCTGCTATCCAGTCTGGGGTTTATGAACCTTCATAGCCTTCATATATATATATCATATAATGTATATATATATATACATATACATATAATCATATATAATTATATCATATCATATATCATATATCATATATCATATATCATATATCATATATCATATATCATATATCATATATCATATATCATATATGTATATATTTAGGTCTATCAATCTATGTATCTGAAAATAGTTTATCCATCAACGCATCCCATGTGATAAAACATCATTTCCCCATGGTCCAACATGGCCCAACTACAGGGGGTCTACCACAACCAACTCTGCAAGGGGCCCCTCAGCACGGTCCTTTGCACGTACCAGAACTTGTGATCCGAGTTGAAGCGGCCCGAGAGATACAGATGTCTCCTCCTAAAGCCTGCCTCCTGGCGGCCAGGTTCAATAAGCACTGGGTAGTTGCCACACGTGCCGTGCCCCTCATTCCGAAATGGGCAGCAATCAAAGTCATGAACCCAAACAGGGATGGAGACAGAACATATTTGACACCGCCAAGCCACTTGTTGCTGGTTATCCTTCCATTTCTATTGCTAATACCACCAATTCAATGTATGAATTCCACCATCCTCAAGAAGGGCTTGATTATTAAGGAATGATGGTTACTGGGATGGTGGATTGTAATCGTGCCATTTGTTTTTTTTTCCGTATCATAAAGAAACACAAACCCAATAATGATCCCATTATACAACAGCTAACACACCCATATATTTGAATAATCATCCCATAATCATCCCACACTTATCCTAAGATTTATGAAATATCTATCAGCCAACAATTTATCTATATATAGTCATAGGCAATGATGGTTCATTAGTTACAAAACTCAATATATGTAACCATAACTATGGTCCAAAGACTGGTACAATGATCATCATAGATAATTAAATTAATAACCATAGTGTGGTAGTAACAAGTATACGATGATAATGATAGTGATACATGATAAGCATGGAAACTATAATAATGATAATATCACGAATACTATCATTAGATTACAATAATAATATCATAATAACAACTGTCATAATGAAAACTACAGAAAGAATAATAATAACTATAGAATGAGAATCAGTATAGAACTATGGAGGGGTAATAAATGTTCATAATAATAACAATAACAATCATTTTCCCATAACTATCCTTTCATATCCTGCCACCTGCAGCTGTGCCTCCTGAAGTCCGCCAGCATCCTGCGCGAATTTAAGCCTGGGCGGCAGAAAGCGCTGGGGAAGAAACGTGGATTTATATACTATAAAACTATGTGTGTATATATTGTATATTGTTGTGTATTGCTGAAGTATTTACTATGTGCGTATATAATTGTACATATATATATATATGCGGCAAATGCCTGGGCTTTGCCCGGACCCGCAATGACGACAGGCGACACATCATCATCATCATCATCATTATCATCATCATCATCATCATCAAAATTAAACCTTTATTGAAGATCTTCAATGAATGTAGAAGTTTAACGGGGATGGGAGAATTAAACCCTTATTGAAGATCTTCAATGAATGTAGAAATTTAACGGGGGTGGGAGAATTAAACCCTTTTTGAAGATCTTCAATGAATGTAGAAGTTTAACGGGGGTGGGAGAATTAGACCCTTATAGAAGATCTTCAATGAATGTAAAGTTTAACGGGGGTGGGAGTTTAATATTACCTAGTACCTTTGTTGATCTTCCCAATTGAATGTAAAGTTTAACGGTGGTGGGAGTTTAATATTCCCTAGTACCTTTGTTGTGTTTTCCATAGGAATTTAAGGTTTAACGGGGGTGGGAGTTTAATATTCCCTAGTACCTTTGTTGTTTTTCCCATTGGAATTTTGTGAAATTGCATCAACATTTGTTTAGGAATGGGAAACCTCTACGCTGCAACGCCTGGGTATAGATATATATAATATGGAAAAAGTTATATAAACAACCAACCATGCTCATAAAAAAATGAAAATAGGCAACAAAATGGAACGCAGTAGCTGCAACAAAATGGTATTACTGAGTCATGTATGGCTCAGCCACCAAGTGGGAAAAGAAGCTATGGATGTCGATGTTTCTGGGTGTTTCACGTTTTTTGATCTTATTGGTGATTGAGCCATCCGTTCCAGAAATGTTATTGCCTGGGATGAATCATCCGCCCAATCCTTGAAAACTTCAGTGGTCCTCTCAAGCAAAAGCGGCCCATTTTTTCCGTCCATCATCATCTCATGGGAAACCAATATCTTCCAGCTCCTGTACTGACTGTCCCAAAGTCTTGTCGAGTCTGAGCAACCAAATCTTGTGGATTTCATCCGCAACCTCGTACCTTGTGAGTTCAACGCAGGCGTCGAAAAAAATCTCGGATTTTTGAGTTGTGAATCGAGCATACCCAAAACATCACAAAACAAAAAGTCAACATCTCTGGACTATATTGATCACATCTCACCAACCTGAAAATGATTAAGGTCATTTTTGGGTGGCTCCCAGTTACTTCCCCAACATGACCATCATCTACACTGACATCGGCCAAAAAGGTCGTCGCCGGCGGCCAATGTTGAAATACATGGAAATACCACCATACATTGTAGAATACGTCAAATATAAATATAAATAAATATATATATATATACACATATACATATACAGTACATATGTACATATATATATATATATATTGAGGAAATCTACAGAGATACATAAAGTGTATGTACGATTAATTACACATTACATCATATAATTACCATTAATGATATCATATGATATTGATATTCGTATGTAATATAATGTATTAATATATATAATAATAGAAGACCTCAATGGAAAGTCCAGGTACTCATCCATAGTTTGCCCATCAACCGCCTGCATAGACTCTTTGAAGACCAAAGCGTTCTGCGCTTGCCCCTCTTTGTCGGGAGGTCGTGGTGGGAAGGTCCCCAACTTGATGGGGATCACTTTCCTGTCGCCAAAAAACACGGGGATTGGCCGTGTGATATTGCCATTGCCAACACGGGGTAAAATTAGCATGTTCTAACAGGTTCTAAGTCTGACCAAAGTTGGGGATGTCATGTTACAACACGGCACAACGAACAACACAAGCTGTTTCAACAGATTCGCTTTTGTGATGGGGCCTGGCTTGAGAAAATTGAAATCTCAATGGAACTCCAACAATCACTCCAAAAATTGAGTCATGGTCATGCCAGATAAACAAAACCAACTTGACTCAGAGACTAACATTGAAATGCACAACTGGTTGGTGGACTGAACACGTCTTAACATAGTATGTCTATGTATGTATTCGTTACTTGGGATAACATATATATAATATATAAAAATATGATAAAATATGTATATCATCTACCGCAACTCTGCTGTTGGGTATATCAACACTTGGCTTTGTCCACACCAAAAAAATCCAGGTGGTTGATCTGCACCATGCAGCCTTCAAAACCCTGCCATCCTGTGCCGGTTGGTTAGTAGGGGTTCGTATAAGACAAAAAAAACAGGTGTAGAACTCTCTACAGTGTGCTGCCCGTCCAGTTGTGTTTGGTTGTCATTGTTGGTTTATAAGCACCATCGTTATGGACCAGCTTGACTTTGTTATAATATTAGTATAAGTCCCATCAACAAGGATTGACATGGATCGATTGGTCACTGCTCAATGGAGTTGGACATGTTCTTTATTTTGAACTGCCACCGGAGCCAGACATTCACCGCATCCACCAATCGTCACAGTTTCAGCAGTTTGGACTCCTATCTTTGGGGAATACTTACAATGAATAGAAAGTATTCATTGGAGGTTTCCTAAAATCGGGGTACCCCAAAACCATGGCTTTGAAATGGTCATAAATGGATATAAAAGGTCAATATAATTATGCATGATTTGGAGATACCCCTTTATAGGAAACCCTAACATTGAAATCCTATTGGGGTCGAAGATGGATCCAGTGGGACTCAGAGCGATCTTTTTCTGCGAGACGCGATCATGTTTGATCACTAGCTATGCCAGGGACTTGCAATCCACTTGCGAATTGCGCACACACATGGCAGCCTGGTAGAACTGTTAACATCAAAATCAACTTGGGAGGTATGGAAAACGCAGGTGATGCAAAAAGTCTTTGAACTTGCATACGATATGCGAATGTGTAGAAAGAAAAACACATCCCAAGTCATGGACACTGCCGCGGTTCAATGCTGAAGGCCGGACATCAGTTTCAGCACTGAGCGTCTTTCTTGACTTGTGTCTCGCATGGCTTCATCAGATCATCAAGAGTATCAAGAATCAGCAAACAGAAACTACCAAACACTTTCCAATTTTGAGCAATTACTTCGAGAAAATCTCAAGTCATGTGACAATTACGACTTTCAACATCACAGCATGCTATGGCACCATTTTCTAAGACACAGTCGAGTTAGAAGATCTCCTTGGGCATGGCCGCGAGAGCATGTTTGCTTGGGGAGAGGTCCGATGGCGAGCATTGTCACGATGTGTCATGTAAGCTGCATTCACACGCTGTGCGTTGACAGCGACATGCACCAACTGCCAACAAAACAAAAAAAAAAAAAAACAACGCACATCTTATGTCTCAAGTGATGTTTGGACGCTATGTATTGATCTCTTTGTGGTGGCAGTATGGGTTTTCACGGTATCCCGACCTGACATCCATACATACAATATGCCACTATGCATATCCTGTTTGAGTGTACCTTTTTGTGCACTTTGATCCTTTGTGCACAGTACACTAACAAGGAAGGAGAAACCTGCAATTACACCGAAAAACAATGCAATGCTCCGCAACTCCCGTTGCAAGTCACACCACGTGGAGGTACAGGCTGTCCCTGTGCTCGATGCTTCATTTCAACCTGCTGGAGCAGGCCATCTACTGCACTCTGGGTGATGACGCGGCTGTACTCACATTGCCGACTTGCGGACTGCAACTGGTAGACAACTTCCTGGGGGTCAAAGCTCAACCAAATCGGTGTCAGTCACTCCCAGGGAACCCAAAAAGTGGGTCCAGGTAACAATTACGGGGAGATCACATTATGTCAGCTAACTATAGTATAAAGTATTGTAAAGCTGTATATATATATATATAAAACATGGATAGACATTCTATACTCAACATTCATGACAACGGCCCTTTCGCTCAAATGTTCTTCCCAACATTTACAGACAGATCTTCGCTATAAAAAAAGGTCTGCTGGCTGCCAGGTCTCCTGCGGTTCTTGCTTCTCCACAGCCATTTGCTGCAGCAGGCCCCAAATGTGCGCCTTCAGCGCCTCACGCTGTGCCTTGCGCGGCCGGGCGTTCGGAAGCTTCATCTCGACGACGTGGTGGCAAAACGCGCAGGCGTCGCCACGCTTGCAGCCAAATGCCGAGGTGAAGAACAAACACCTCGAAAAATCGGTGCCAATCAAAGCCATATCAAAATGAGAAAACCATATAGAAAACCATTGAAATTCTAATGTTGACATTTTGTAAGCCTAATCTGAAACCAGGTTCTCTCCCGACTGAAAATCTTATAAAATAAGCCGGCAACAAAAAGACAAAAAGTAAATGTCAAATGTCAAAAGCGTGGTCGCTGTATATTTTTTGGCTGTGTGGCTGGTTGCAAGGCAATCGTGAGTATTCGCTCATGGAGCTGAAGGTAACGGGTTCTTCCGATCCATCCGAACTGCTGGATCCCTGTTCCATCAGCCTTCAAAGGGAGAGACAACACTCTATGGGTGAAGCTTCCGAACCAAAACAGCCCAGGTGACGTTCATAGTGCACCTCAAGTCCATAAGACAAAGGCAATAGTAAAGCAAACCATAGTAAACCACCAGACTTGAGTTTTACTGTTTGATACACAGTAATGTGATAAACCCAATGTCATAAACCATCCCCAAGTCATCACCATTATGGGTTGTACAACCCATCCCCAAAAGGTGTAGGGTTATCACTGGGTTTATCACCTTACTCTATATATCTCTATATTATATATATATGTAACTGTATTTATATATAATTATATATATATATATTTGAGAATCTAAAAGGATTCTTAAATGCATCTTCTATTGGGTCGCCAGGGCCTGGTTTAATCTTGGTTTTACCTCGGAATTTGATCACTGCTTGACTGAGTCATGAAAAATCACCGAATCAACTCATGAAACAAGCTAAACCTATCATACTGCTTGATACGACAAAAGTAATAGTCATGAATATCAAAATGAACATAAATAATAGTAATAATAATATTGTAATACTATAATAATACTAGTTAACACACATATATATATATATATCGTCTACAGTAACGCTGCTGTTGGGTAACATGGCTTTGTCCACAGCCCAAATCCAGGTGGTTTATCTGCACCATGCAGCGTTCAAAACTCATCCTGTGCTGGTGGTTTTTTGGGGGGTTGGCACAAGACTTAAATAAACCAGGTGTAGAACTCTCTACAATGTGCTGCATGTGTTTGGTTGTGTTTGTTGGTCATTTTATGTCATTTTGATTGTTGGTTTTCACAAAACCACCTTCTGAACTGCTTTGATTCATATCTACCACTGTCTACCAACCACTGCTAGTCGTAATAAACCAGCTATACTTATAATATCTTGGGATCATCATCCCAAGAAAAATATGAAACCAACGTCCCAAATATTTCGGGTATCCCATGGCATCCCTGTATCCCCATCATTTGAAATGGCTATATCCCAATGTTTATGGGTTGTTTTCACTGGTTTGATACTTGATATGTTTATCCTCCGGTAATCAAACATGGCAATGGAAAAATCCGCATGAATGATGTTATCATTGAATATCATTGAAACATCCATCTAGTTCGGGGATTTTCCATTGCCATGTATTGCCATCTTTGATCTTTGATCTTTGTGGATGGTTATTGGTTCTATTCCCAAGGATGCCATGCGTCAGCTTCTTTTCAAAGGCATACTTCATCTCTGCGAAGCTCGTCCCGGAGTCACCTGGTTTTTTCCGAGATCCCAGGCTGCCGGTGAGGTGGACATCTGCAGCCAATTTTGGTGGGCTTCAAATATATCTGAAACATATTAGTCAATGGGAAGGATTATCCCATATATTATGGAAAATAAAAAATGTTTGAAACCACCAACCAGATATAGGAATCTGTCACTACTTCTGGCCACAGTTAAGCCTGGCCCAGCACAGCAGCGCCTAGCAAATGATGGTAGCAAATGGTAGCAAATCGAAGCATTTTTCAGAAAGTTGCGAAAACGCGGCAGAGTGATGAATTCATGTTTTTCTTCATATGGATCATGGACATGATGTTCTCAAACTATTCTCGGAGTTCGGTGTGAAATTTCGCAGGGGTTTGTGGCAGGACAACCCAAAGCTGTGCAACTTGCAGCATCTCTGAAACACAGGTCGAAGAAACACTCGCAGAGCACACTGAACAACTAGGGGCTAACATCGGCAATGATGCGTTGAGACCTACAAGTCATCTGATGAACGATCCGTGTTCAACAGGTGAGCCAGGTGTTTTTCCTTGTTTGCGGAAAGGAGCTACCCTGTGTGGGCTCCTGCGGAGTTTCCTTTGTCATATATGCATCGCGTAGCCGACCTGTCAGTGTTTTGTAGCCTCGCGTAGCCTTCGCGTACTCTCCGCGTAGGCGATTTGGACAAAAAACACGGCTCAGGCGATGTTTCATGAACTTCAGTTGCGACATGTTGCTCCCTGGTCTGAAACCCAGAAATGCAGCCCATTCATCGAAAAATGCCAATCAAACTCCCTTCTGTGCAAGGTTTGGTCAGCCAGGTTTGATTCCCCATGACCAGTTGAGATCCCCGAGTTGCTGTGAATCTTGCTTAAGCTATGGCAGCTATGGCAGCTATGGCAGCTATGGCAGCTATGGCAGCTATGGCAACGCCCTACAAGATAGAAAAGTTAGACACCTGGAAAATATGAGAAAAACATCACCAAGTTCACATCCTGGAAACACGTTTCTAATCATTGATCCGTTCCATTTTTTTGGGTATTTTTGTTATTCCACTCCCAATTTCCCGAAAATTCAAGTCACGCGAAGAGCTTCCACCATAGGTCTCTGAACAGAAGGCGACCATGAGTCGTGCTGCCGCCAAACCATCTGCCGCGACTTCGTGGACATCTTCACCCGGCACGGGATCGCATAGGAAGGTGGGGGTGCCGTGAGAATCCAGTAGCCGCTTCACTGAGCGGACGTAGCGTTTCTGCAAGTCCTGGAAGCTATCGGACAATAAAAATAAACAGATGCTTAGACCATCGGAAT